TGACAATGCCCACATATTTTAAAAATCAACATAATAAAAATTGCAGATACCTTTACAGATTGATGTACACATAAACACACTTTTATACAAAGCCCTTTGTATTACTTTAAGGTTATCCATGTGGCCACTGCAGGCAGTAATGTAGCATTATGATAGAATAACCAAATACCATTCTACTGGTTTGGTGGGAATTCAAGATGTAGCACCTACCAACTCACACAAATAAAAATTAACTCTAAAACATGACACCAAATATCTGAACAAACTGTTTTAAATTTAGTCTTTCCAAATGCTGCCATGGAGCAACCAACTTTCTTTCTCAGGATCCTGATGATAACTGAGTCATTTTCTGTTCTAACAAATCAATTCCCTCATTTACAAATAAAGAAAATAACATTCAAAGAAGTTTACACCAGTGGCAGTACTTCAAATACAGTATCAAATTATGATCCCATGGTCTACTTATAAACCAGACTGATAACACAAACAATAAAGACTGCTTTAAGAGGACATTCGAGAAAAAAATAAAAGACATTTGAACTCTTTGGAAATGGAAATCACTCAGAATTTAGATATGGCCAAAAGAGCTGGGATGACTTACTTTCATGCCACAATTATTTTTAGTAGTCTGTTAAAACAAAGTTGGCTGAATCCCTTCAGTATTAGACTAAAATACTAAAATAAAAAAACTTATTGGAAAAATAGGACATTGTTGAGATTTCATGGCAAATCATCTTAAATAAGGTCAGAGTATTATTACAAAAAGGCAATATATTTCTGATATTTTGTTATACATACTACAAAACAGTAAGATAAAGGCAAAAATTGTATACTCATTTTTCTGGCGATTACCCTTTATCAGTTTTTTCATGGCTTTAAAGGAGAATTTCTAAACTACACTCTCAAATGCAACAGACTAAAAGCATAAAGTGCTCAAGAGAAAAAGATACACTAAGTAAAATATGAAAAATTTTGCATATAATAAGCAGGGTAGTTATCAAGGATATTTCAAAATTCTTACCTTGCTAAGCTTTCTACCCAAAAATGCAACCTTAGAAATCAAGGCAAGATGTGATGAGCTGCTCTTACAAGGCAAGAATACTGCCAGCTGTAGAGGAAAACCTTTTCCCTTTCAGCTGCAACATTTTTCTTTCAGAAATGAAGTTTCAGAAACCAGTACTGACAATACAGCAATGACATTTGCATGCAAAGGTAAAAAATTTAGTAATAATTATAGAGTATATTTGGCAAACAATTTGAACCTCTTGAAAGCCGGTTAGTGACCATGTATATTATTGGTAACGGCACTGACTTAACCTAAATTAAGAACTCACCTATTTAAACTGGAGTAGCTGAGTAAGGAATGCCCATGTCAGTAGGCAAACAAATATAATACTTTGTACTCTGTCTCTGGAGAAGTCCTGGTGTAGAACTGAAGGCCATTAGTTCTAAAAGTCTCTAGTTAAAAGGCTGTTTTTTAGGGGGTTGGGGGGAGGAGTTTGGGGCTTACTCTTCTTTACCAAATCCCAAAACAAATCAATAGTGCTCCTTTCATTAGAAAATGTTGAGTTTTTAAGAATGAAAATGAAATTCAAAAGTTATAAAGATTCTCCCGTGGGTACAGAACTCTGTAAGAATTAACAGGGTCTCTTTTTTAATTCTTTAAAATTGACTTCTCGAAGTTCAGTTAGGTAAGGTGAGGGAGACGTGAGGGAGACTGATTTAAGTCCCTGGAATCATCAGATTTGTTGCAGAGGAAGAGTATGAATTTTGGAGACTGCTGAGGATGCAAGGATGTGTCTTGGGCAACCTGATGAGTATCATAGGAAAAATGATGCACACTATGATGAAATGGAAGAATGCAATGAATTTTTAGAATGGTCAGAAATACTACTTGTCTGTGTAAAATAAACTAACCCCGAAGAGCCACTTCATTATCTCTACATTTTAAAAAATAAGGCCCCCATATATTCATTCCCCTCTCAAACATTCTTTTTAAAAAAGCCTTTCTTTATAAAGTTTAAAAGATAATGACAGCATTAATTTTTAGCAGCTAGTTCTAGAACTGTAGTCTACCACTACCCATATGTGCCTAATAAGAACTTGAAATGGAATTTAGCCTAAATTGAGATGTGCTGTAAGTGTAAAATAGGCACTCATTTTAAAAAGTATCCCCCCAAAAAGGAAAAATATTTCCTAAGTGACTTTTTATATTGATGTAACAAGTTAGATATATGGGTTAATTAGAAATATGTAATTGAGATGAATTTCACCTATTTTTTTTTACTTTTTAAATGTGCCTACCAGAAAATGTAAAATTACATGTGGCTCACATTTTATTTCTATTAGCACTGTAAAGAGCACAGAGCGTTGAGGCATTATACTGACTGGGATTAGAGCCAAACCACTTTACCACTGCATGCTTCCAAAAAATTTCTTGAGATGCTAATAAAAAAATCAGAATCTTGGTAGACTTCATTGCAATTCTGGGTTCTTATTTATTACTCCAGTAATTCTAGATTATCCAAGAGAAAAGCAAAGAGCAACTGTGTGAGATCGTTGTTCACTGTGTATGTATTTTAGCAGGTAACTTTAGTTTCAAAGGACAAAAAGAATGAATTATAGTCCCAGATTAACCAAACTATTCATCAAATGAACCTATATACATTTTGATCATTCCATTTATCTCTTAAAGACAGCCCCAAATCTGTCTTTAAGCTAACTATATGTAGCTGCTAACATAGTTTGCCACAGGGATATAGATACTCAGATATCTAAAATAATCTCAAAGTATTTGCATTACTCATGAATATTTTATAAAAGATGAAATGTTTTCTTTGCAAGTTACTGAAACTATAAGCACAGCAATGTATGAAAGATGTTAACACCAAAAAAAAGGCAACATTTTAGAACTGAAATTTAGTTGCACACTTAAATCTTGAATTTTAACTTCACATCACTCCTTTGAAAAATACAATCCTCATTAGTTTTTCTAAACATAAAATTAGTGGCAGCTGCAGCAAACAGACTGAAAATCTGAGAGAAAAATTACCCCTTGATTACAAAAGAGTCAGAATGTAAATAAAGGTTTTAGATTTTTTTATGGAAAAAAAAATCAATTTCCCCTTAAACACATCATTCAGCACTAACTTTAGTACCTGAAATACCAGTATCAGTACACTGCTACATTTATTTCAAATAGTAAGCTACGAATGTCAGACACATGTCCAATCTGATTATCACACCATTCTAAGGATAAAAGTATTTTAGGCCTTCATCATATTTGATGTAATGACTATAGACTATAGTCCATGATATTTCAACTCACTTGCAGGTAATTAAAATTGTGCTCTATAAATTTTGCTATGAATTGCATTAGACAATAGCAATAAATAATTTCAGGAGGGGTTTATCGCACATCTATTCCTATTCACAATGATCAGAAAACACAAACAGCTTGAAGAAAAGGGCTATTTAAAAAAAATCCCATCTAATATTCAAACATTGATAAACTTAATGGGAATGTTTCTTTCTGTGCAGTGGAAAAGTTCTGACAATGCCCACATATTTTAAAAATCAACATAATAAAAATTGCAGATACCTTTACAGATTGATGTACACATAAACACACTTTTATACAAAGCCCTTTGTATTACTTTAAGGTTATCCATGTGGCCACTGCAGGCAGTAATGTAGCATTATGATAGAATAACCAAATACCATTCTACTGGTTTGGTGGGAATTCAAGATGTAGCACCTACCAACTCACACAAATAAAAATTAACTCTAAAACATGACACCAAATATCTGAACAAACTGTTTTAAATTTAGTCTTTCCAAATGCTGCCATGGAGCAACCAACTTTCTTTCTCAGGATCCTGATGATAACTGAGTCATTTTCTGTTCTAACAAATCAATTCCCTCATTTACAAATAAAGAAAATAACATTCAAAGAAGTTTACACCAGTGGCAGTACTTCAAATACAGTATCAAATTATGATCCCATGGTCTACTTATAAACCAGACTGATAACACAAACAATAAAGACTGCTTTAAGAGGACATTCGAGAAAAAAATAAAAGACATTTGAACTCTTTGGAAATGGAAATCACTCAGAATTTAGATATGGCCAAAAGAGCTGGGATGACTTACTTTCATGCCACAATTATTTTTAGTAGTCTGTTAAAACAAAGTTGGCTGAATCCCTTCAGTATTAGACTAAAATACTAAAATAAAAAAACTTATTGGAAAAATAGGACATTGTTGAGATTTCATGGCAAATCATCTTAAATAAGGTCAGAGTATTATTACAAAAAGGCAATATATTTCTGATATTTTGTTATACATACTACAAAACAGTAAGATAAAGGCAAAAATTGTATACTCATTTTTCTGGCGATTACCCTTTATCAGTTTTTTCATGGCTTTAAAGGAGAATTTCTAAACTACACTCTCAAATGCAACAGACTAAAAGCATAAAGTGCTCAAGAGAAAAAGATACACTAAGTAAAATATGAAAAATTTTGCATATAATAAGCAGGGTAGTTATCAAGGATATTTCAAAATTCTTACCTTGCTAAGCTTTCTACCCAAAAATGCAACCTTAGAAATCAAGGCAAGATGTGATGAGCTGCTCTTACAAGGCAAGAATACTGCCAGCTGTAGAGGAAAACCTTTTCCCTTTCAGCTGCAACATTTTTCTTTCAGAAATGAAGTTTCAGAAACCAGTACTGACAATACAGCAATGACATTTGCATGCAAAGGTAAAAAATTTAGTAATAATTATAGAGTATATTTGGCAAACAATTTGAACCTCTTGAAAGCCGGTTAGTGACCATGTATATTATTGGTAACGGCACTGACTTAACCTAAATTAAGAACTCACCTATTTAAACTGGAGTAGCTGAGTAAGGAATGCCCATGTCAGTAGGCAAACAAATATAATACTTTGTACTCTGTCTCTGGAGAAGTCCTGGTGTAGAACTGAAGGCCATTAGTTCTAAAAGTCTCTAGTTAAAAGGCTGTTTTTTAGGGGGTTGGGGGGAGGAGTTTGGGGCTTACTCTTCTTTACCAAATCCCAAAACAAATCAATAGTGCTCCTTTCATTAGAAAATGTTGAGTTTTTAAGAATGAAAATGAAATTCAAAAGTTATAAAGATTCTCCCGTGGGTACAGAACTCTGTAAGAATTAACAGGGTCTCTTTTTTAATTCTTTAAAATTGACTTCTCGAAGTTCAGTTAGGTAAGGTGAGGGAGACGTGAGGGAGACTGATTTAAGTCCCTGGAATCATCAGATTTGTTGCAGAGGAAGAGTATGAATTTTGGAGACTGCTGAGGATGCAAGGATGTGTCTTGGGCAACCTGATGAGTATCATAGGAAAAATGATGCACACTATGATGAAATGGAAGAATGCAATGAATTTTTAGAATGGTCAGAAATACTACTTGTCTGTGTAAAATAAACTAACCCCGAAGAGCCACTTCATTATCTCTACATTTTAAAAAATAAGGCCCCCATATATTCATTCCCCTCTCAAACATTCTTTTTAAAAAAGCCTTTCTTTATAAAGTTTAAAAGATAATGACAGCATTAATTTTTAGCAGCTAGTTCTAGAACTGTAGTCTACCACTACCCATATGTGCCTAATAAGAACTTGAAATGGAATTTAGCCTAAATTGAGATGTGCTGTAAGTGTAAAATAGGCACTCATTTTAAAAAGTATCCCCCCAAAAAGGAAAAATATTTCCTAAGTGACTTTTTATATTGATGTAACAAGTTAGATATATGGGTTAATTAGAAATATGTAATTGAGATGAATTTCACCTATTTTTTTTTACTTTTTAAATGTGCCTACCAGAAAATGTAAAATTACATGTGGCTCACATTTTATTTCTATTAGCACTGTAAAGAGCACAGAGCGTTGAGGCATTATACTGACTGGGATTAGAGCCAAACCACTTTACCACTGCATGCTTCCAAAAAATTTCTTGAGATGCTAATAAAAAAATCAGAATCTTGGTAGACTTCATTGCAATTCTGGGTTCTTATTTATTACTCCAGTAATTCTAGATTATCCAAGAGAAAAGCAAAGAGCAACTGTGTGAGATCGTTGTTCACTGTGTATGTATTTTAGCAGGTAACTTTAGTTTCAAAGGACAAAAAGAATGAATTATAGTCCCAGATTAACCAAACTATTCATCAAATGAACCTATATACATTTTGATCATTCCATTTATCTCTTAAAGACAGCCCCAAATCTGTCTTTAAGCTAACTATATGTAGCTGCTAACATAGTTTGCCACAGGGATACAACTTGAAGTTATCATTTAAAAATAGAAACATTTTGTACAGACACCCAAGTCATAAAATTGTAAAGTAAACTGAACAGATAGCTTTTGGCTACACTACTAGTCACTACAATGGAGACATTACAGTAAGAAGCGTTTAGTCACTGGAGGCTTTCACAGTGACTACTGACAGGAATTCAAAGGTCCAAATTCTAAAAGTTTATCTTCACATGTTTTTCCCACTAATTATTTACTCTTGCTATTCATACATTCATGTTTTTAGATAGAGAAAACTGAATTTTAAGTATTTGAGCACAAAATCTGAAAACCACAAGGAGAAATGTCTTTATCAAGCACTTCTTGATAGTCTATTGAAAATCTTTCTCTATGGAGAATTGTGTTCTGTAAGAACATGTTGTAATATACTCCCTTCTTCCTGTAAACAATTTTTAAGCTCTTCAAAGTACATCCAGATTTAATAGTACTTCGAGGAGATATTTTCCCCCAAGTTTTTCTACTTCCTAAACCATAAGTAAGTCTCAAACAACTCTGCTGAACTACTGGACCTTGAAAATGTTACTGCCTAAGTAAAATCTGAAAACATTTACATTATAAAAAATGACTTTAATTAGAGAACAAACTCCAAGGCAAAAGGTTTTACAAATTTTGGAACTGTAATGCTGTTACTACCAGAACATACAAAACACTGATCCTTTCATAATTCTGCAGTACTGTCTCAGACTCCCAGAATTTCGGAACAACTCTTAGATTTCTGTAACATCGTTAATAATAATAGATTTTGTTGCTATTTATAATAAGTCTTTAGCTTTAAAAGTTCAGACAGACCTAATTAAACACAACTGACTGGTTTGAGCCTAACGTAAATGTGGTATATCAAGAGTACAGAACTCTACCAATGCATGCAAACCATATTCTGTTGGAATAGTCCTGAACCTCATTGAATAGACTTTCAAATAAGTAATTAAACCTCCAATTTAAAAATATTAAACATTTTGAACTGTATTGATTTACTCATAACATAAAGTGCAGTATCATCATTTATGTGCATTTTCGAAGATTCATTTTTAAATTCAGGTTATTATGTAACATAGTATTTCAATTAAACTATGGCATTTGAAAAAAATTTTAGGGAAAGATCACAACAAACATGCTTTTGGGGAGTATATGTTAGGAAAACTGTAATAATAATGTTGCCTTAACATCTCTAAAATCACATAAAAATTATCATCTTTGATTGCTATTTCAATAGTTTTGAAACAGGGTATGCTACTGTCTGCTTACTAGTAACCAAAACACACATACAACAGACTTGTAACAAATACTGAGATTCAATTATCTTCATGAGTTAAACATTTCTGAGACTTTAAGATTTGTATTTGAGCATACAGTATTGCAATGTTGGCTACATAAAATAAATAGAAAATCTTTTGAAAGGAAGCTCAATAATCAGAGGCTATATTGCATTTAAGAAATTAACACTGCTTATATACAGAAGAGTAAGCATTTCAATTAGAAATACTCACGTTACCAGGTTCTCTTTTAATATGGCAACATTTAGCAGCTTACCATTTTGACATTTAAATATCAACAGGAATGGAGCTACTCTTTTATCCTTTGGTTCCCAGTGACAAATAATCCAGTAATAATGCCTCTGGTTGTCAGTTTCTTTTGGATGACATTTATTAGCAGAGAGAAATCTGATGTTTTAGCTGAAATTTGGCAGCCCAAGAAGTGCACCAACTGCTCCAAAGTATCCCTGTATAATTTCAAAACAAGTATTAATGTGGTGCTTTTAAAGTAGCATGCAACATTAGGCACTAGTAAGAAAACATATTTATGTACAATCTATTTATTTTAAGAGAACACCTATTTCAGAAATCCACCAATCTGTGTTGTCAGCTATTGTAAAAAGAAAAGCTGTATTAATACAGTTTAACATACGTATTTTTAAATATGTATTTAAATACATAACAAATTGAAATGTATTTTTAAAGTCTGGCTTTTAAATACTAAAGCTTCTGTGCTTTTACTATCTAAATTCTGTTGCAAATTATATATTGCAATTCTGTGCTCCTCTCCCCTTTCCTCAAAATATTTTCTCTGGCTTTGCTTGCCACTCTCAAAGCCTATGGCGTGCCACATGAAGCTGCACAAGAGTGTATCATTCTATTTGTATAGTAAGAGCAGTGACAATGAAACACGGCAAGCTGGTAAGAGCAGAGCAAATACCCACAACTTGTATCATTAAAATTCTCAGTAATATATCCATTTGAGTGACCAGAAATAACTCAAGTAAGTTTATTCAATCCAAAGCATTATATGAATTATTTGCTCAGATTGTAATTTAACTGAATGTAGTGAATGAATAGGGAACAATATCTTGAAGAACAAACTCTAAAATGTTAACATTGGTTAGACCTGTAGAGGTGGGGGTGAAGTTGTGGTGGGAAGATTAAGGAGAATTTTCATTGCTGAACTATGTATTTTTGTACTGTTCACATTTAACATCTGTTATCTCAGGGAAAAAAAAAAGAACTGTGAAACTGTTACCTCAATGAGGTGTCTGCCAGGTTACAGTAACCTCTGTCTGCCTCAACTCCAACCCAAGTGAGGGAATCAATATGCTATTTAGTTATATCATATACTTTTGTACCTTACTTGTAAGTACAGAGCAAGAAGCAATGTATGAAACCTTCATACAAAAAGCATGCTATTAAAATTCACAGAACAGTATTTTACCATACCTCGTGCTCTAGAAACAATGCTTTCAGCTGACCTTTTGACCAGTAGTCCAGTGCATATGCCAAAAGTTTCATCGAGAGAATATTGACACGTAAAAAGTTCCCAACAAAGACAACTCTTTTTATTTTCTAAAAGAAAAGAAGGTAATGACTTGAAAAAAGAATTACCAAGTAGATTTTACAACATAGTAGGTTTTACAAAATCTCTTCTTAAAAATGTAAACAACTACTACCTTTTATTAGTGCCTATTACATTCCTGGTACATAACTCCATAATCCTGAATATTTAAAAATTATTTCAGGACATGTCACTACACATTTGTCAAGCCCATAAAATATACACCATGACTGAGCCCAAATGTAAACTAGTGACTTTAGGTGATAATGATGTGTCAATGTAGGTTAACAGACTGTAACAAACACACCAATCTGGTGCTGGTGCATGCATGGTAACTCTGTACTTTCCACTCATTTTTGCTATAAACTAAAACCCATAAAGAATAGTCTATTTTAAAGAAAGAAAAGTTCTAGAAATATCCTAGCAAATTAATTAATTATAGGTTAAAACTGGTTTTTTTAAATGGCCAATAAATAATCCATTTAATAAGTAATTTGGAGAAATACTACTGATGAGATTAAGAAGACAAACCAAGGAAAATTATTTCAAATGTATTTAGGATTACAAAAAAAACCATAAACTTGGCCAACATGTTGAAATTATGCTCAACAATGACATGCAACCTGCGGATCTAAGGTGGAGAGCAACACTGACTAGGGTGATGGCATTCTCTGTCCCAGGACTAACCCATCAAATCATTCTCTCTGCTGGGATTCTACTCACTCATTTGGCTCCTTAGCTATTTTAAGATGAGGAAATATCAGATGGAGGAAATGGTGTCTGAATTTTTGGAAAACCTACTTCAGATAATCCTTCAGATAAAAATAACCAGCCATGAAATAAACCTGGCTGCACATGCTCTTCCTAAGTATGCAGCATCCAGACTGCCTGCGAAGATGAGGTCTCAGCGCCTTCATAGCCCTGTACAATGCTGCTTGATCATATGCAACAAGGCAGCACTGTAAAGAGGCCGAGGGCAGTAAGACCGCCTCCAGGAGCTCCACTCGTCACGCAGTAACAGCAAACCTGCCTTCAGTGATGTGTTCCCGCAAAAGTCCTCCTTAGGAAGAATTCCTCTGTCTCTCCAAGACTTAGACTGTTTATTTCTGAAAAGGTTTCTGGATAAATATGAAATGTAAATACCTATTTTTCCTATTTCAAATTCGAATTATCTGCTATTTTCTTTAAAGGTACTGAAACAATTCGATACATAACGTATATACCTAATGAGTCTCGGAATCAGGAAATTTCTACCCTAGAGTCCTCCTTAAGGAACATGTAGAAAGCCTGGTATATGTACATAAAACTCCAACTCATTCTTCATATAATAAAAAAATTTACCTCATTAACAGCACACATTCGTGCCACAGAACCAATGTTATTGGTGATAGTAACTAAAGTAGCTCTTGCTAGATCTTCTTTACTAACAGATTCTCGCTTCTCCTTATAAATCATATTCCCAAAACTGCAGAAAAATGAAAAAACAATATCAAACTACTAATAACAAGCAACATTTTATACATTTTGGGAGTTTATTCTATAGATAAATCTAAACAAGTATGTACAATGTGACTCACTGACCTGTACATAGCAAAATATTGGAACTACCCAAACACCCATCAAACTATGATATATTCACATAATGGAATCCTTGAAGCTGTTAACAAGGGAGGGAAGAAAGAAGGGAGAGGAGAAAGGAGGGGAAGGAGGGGGGAGAGGCAAAGGGAAGAGAAAGAAACGGATAGAGGCAGGCAGACAGACTAATATAGTGCTACTGAAGACTTACATATAGTGCGCTATACAATGGTGTGTTACCCTCTATATAAGGAGGGGACAAGGATATGTATTTACAGAAACACTGGAAAGATTCTCAAGAATGAATAAAAATGGTTTCTATAGGGTGCACTCAAGGGAGATGTCTAATTTTTCTTTTCAACTACATGAATGTTCAAAACTTGGAACCTCAACTGGGTAAGAGGAAGCCCCCTTACAACTTAATTGTTTTCTAAAAACTAAATAAGCAACTTTGATTACAACATAAATGTTAAACCTACCTAGATGCTACAGCCCAACCTGGCAGACCGAATCTTTCATAATCTCCTCCATAAATATCACGGACCAGCTTGTCAGCATGGGTGCTGTCACCTTTGGATGCCATTTCAAGAGCCTCTTCAAAACTTTCACAGCCCGTCAATAAACTGCATAAACCCAGAAAGGTACCACCTCCAAGACTAAAAAGAATAAAGAAACAAGGTAAGTTGCATTTACACACCGTATTCTTTCTCCAAAGTAAAGGGTGGAACATTCATTTAGTCAATAAACACACAGAAAGAACATATTACTAAAGCCAAGTGCTAAAATATTAACATAATGAAGAAAGGTTAAGAAAAATACTTAGCCAACCCCAACTTGTCAGATCAAAGAATAAACCAAAGGGAAGAAAATCATTGGGTGGTAACTACACAAAGACAAGAGATCTCTACTAGTATCTTCACCTGATACCTCACACTCTTTTAACTGCTAAACGTAAATGTTTTTTACGAAAAAGAAATAAATGTTAAAGATTAATTCCATATGAATTAAAAGGAGAAAACTTATTATTCTAAATAGTTTCCAGGAAATCATTTTGTGAAAGGCCTATTACTGCAGCCTGACAAGGCTGAAATCAATTCAGTGTGATTAACATCAACATTTAACAGGACCCAGAAATGAATGCAGGGAGGAAATTTATGTCAGGTGGGTTATCATGTTAATTGGTTCTATTGTTTTTTTTGGGGATATGCTTACATAATGAAATGCTCCCTAATCCCTAAAATAAAAACCTTTGCTCTCTAGACTCACCTAAATTTCTAACAGGTCCTACTACCCCTGAATCACTGTTGGAGTTTAAATAACGCTTCCTTTTAAGTCTTTGGCATACGAAGTTACAATGGAAGTAGATTTTTAGCCACCAGAGCAATAAAATACAAAATAAAGCATTATTTAAATAAAATTACTACTTTAAAACTGAAATGAGTTTTTTCACAAGTCAATGCAAAACATCCCCAAATCATTTTTCTTGACTAATAAATAGGAGTTTCCACCTTTCTTGAAAGCCGATGAAGTACACATGAGAATCATAAAGAAAAAATTTTCAATCTCATTTCAAACATTTCAGGTATGACAGAAAATTTTATGGGATACTTGAAACATCTCATGTTAAATTCATCCTTTAAGAATTAATCAGTGTTGCCCAAATAATCCCCTTAAATTTAAAACAAATCAACATGTGGCAAGCTTTAGGCTTAAATATATCTATAAAGAAGTGAAAAATAAGGGAAGAAAAAAGTGCTTAGGAAAAGATATTGTAATCATTCCAGTTAAAACTGACTCTTATCATTATGGAAATTTTGATCCCAATTGTTGCTAACCAAATATAAATACTTACTGATTTTAGTTTTCAGATTCTGTATACATAAATTATAAAATAGTATTATCTCCAACACTTCAAGTTATACTTACACATCTACATTTTTTGCTATTGCACAAATACAAGTTATTTTCTTGATGAAGTTACCATTAATGAACTGATTTCACAACTTCCATTGTATAAAATATGAATGCTACAACAAGAACAGAAAGGATACTACCTTGTCCCAGTTACTCGTTTATAGTTGTCTTTTGAATGGACTGCTAAAATACTGACTCCGGAACCAATGTTCACTACCAGCAGCGGATAAGGATCATCCAGTTTAAAAGGCATCTTTTGGCATTGCTCAGGTTCTGAGGCATTAGCAAAATAATAGCACTCTGCTTGTCCATTGAAACTGACAGAATCTATATACAGCAAGCCCTTTACAAGGCAGTCAAGTTCGTCCAGTTTGTGCAGGTGGAGGTTTCCAATCTGTCAAAAAAAACAAAAAACATCAAACTTTTATAAAGTGAACAAAGGACAGCATATAAAATACTTGACTCAGTACTGTATAATTTTCACATACTCTACAAACTTCAAAATCATCTATGACCCCAAAACGTTTTCACTAGTTTCACATCAAAACCTTGGTCCAGTGCTTCTCAGTGATGATGATGACGATGGTTGTACCTCAGTGATGAATGATGATGGAGGCATTCTGGAAATCTGTGGGTACATCTTAGTTTTCACAAAAGTGGAGAGGAGAGTTAACACTTAGTGGGCAGAGCCTTGGGATGCCAGACATCTGCAATGGTGGGGCAGTTGTACAAAACAAAGAACTTTCCCATTTCTGCATTATCTTTGAGTGTCCTTACATTTTTATAGGCAGAAAATTTTATTTATAATTATCTGAGCCTATCTATGTGTATAAACACAAAGCATTCTTTAAAAAAAAAGATTTTTTTTTTAAAAAGGTTGACATTATGTATGAAAAAATAGGACAAGTTGAGGATGAAGTAATTTTCCTAAGGATATTCAGTATGTTCCCTGATTTGGTGCATAACCTCTACCTGTTCAGGTGACCAAAGATGACTGCTACAAGGAGGAATAGTAGGTAATCTATTTTAATGATCAATTCTTTTTATTTATTTATTTTTATTAAGGTATCATTGGTATATAATCTTATGCTCAGATTTCACATGAGCAACACTGTGGTTACTACATTCCCCCTATTATCAAGTCCGCACCACATACCCCATTACTGTCCATCAGCATAGTAAGATGCTATAGTCATTACTAACACAAAGCATTTTTTACATGGTTTTAATACGTACTAAATGTGCTAAGAATGCAACCACCATATAAACTGAGAAAATATTGTACTTTTCATTGTCTGGCCTTTTACCAAGTGTTGTTTAGCATCCTGGCAAGTTGTATCACCATAGGGAACACCATTGTGGTATTCGATTCTCCAGTAAAACTTACCGTATCAACCTAAGAGTTTGTGGCTTTAAAATTCAGTGAATCCATGCATAGGTGGCAAGCATCTAACTGCTTCATTATACCCTCTCATGTACCAGATTACCAGAGAATCTATCTACTACATACTTAACTCCCTGTCTTTATAGTGTAGCTTATGTACTACTTTGAAATTCTTAAACTCATTTCAGGTTAGTAAAGAGTATATTACAAAATATTTGTTATCAAAGATCTCAGCTTCAGTATCTGGGAAGCTTTCCAATTCGCTAGGACTTATCCCTCCTCTGTTCTCATGGCACCTCTCTTCATAGCAGTGGTATTAATTATAAGGCACTGAACTTTATAATTCACTTATGTGTGTAGTCTAGAATACTGCATTCTTTGAGGGCTGTCTGTGTCTTATTCCTAGATGAATTCTGTGTCTAGCACAGTATCAGGCATATACTAGATGCCCAGATATTGGCCTAGTAAATAACTGAACATCAACAAAACAAGTATTATAGAATTTCAGAACTTAGTATCAATACTTAAAAAAAAACTAAAACATTGTATCTGGATAACAGTATCTTCAATGGCCAGGTGCAAGAATACTAGCAAACATTAAATATCACATGTCCAAACAAACAGGCCTCAAATCCATGAAATTTATGCTCAGATTACTCAATAAACTGAATACAAATTAGTATCATCCATCACAAGAATAATGTTTTTTAATAAAAATTTACTTTTAAACTACCTCAAATTACAAGGGGCTCACTTATGTGAGCCCTATAAATGATCACTTATATTTTATTAACAGAATTTTCTTACATGAATTTAAGAAATTAAATGGTCCACATGTGTATTTTCAGGGAAAACAAACTTAGGTAGCTCCAATGCCAATTTTTAAATCCTAATGCTAACGGAAAGAAAAGAAAGGAAGCTTGGCAAATCCCTACTAGCACATAAATCAACACTTACACAGTTCTCTTGCCATATCCAAATGACCCCATTTGGGACAGGAACATGGTAGGTTTGATGGTATAAAACCAGGGAGAAAGGGGTAATGGGACTTGCATCTCAGGCGTATTCTGACTTTAGTTGGGGTTTGGGAAGGAGATGGCCTTGGGAGAGATGACTAGACTCAAAAAATCATGCAAACACAGGACAAATTCATTGAAGTCCCTCTTCACTGTGGCTTTGTAGCAGTCCCTAAAATTAGCTTTATCAAATATTACGTACAACAGGCCCAAATCTCGGCAATTTTTACTCATCCTATACAGGTGTTTAAATGTCCCCAAATCCAGTCATGAATACATACTTCCTCTGTACCTGCAGGGGTACTAATCTAAGAAACATACTAGGTGAAAGTCTAGCCTCAATTTTCAGTATTAGAGAGAATGGGCATCAATTTTTGGCTTTGAGTAATAGATACCTACTGTGCGAAAATCTTTTTCAAACTTGTAAGCACTACCTCCTGTAGCACATAGCACCGTGTGTAATGTGGAGAAGTTTTTATCTCTCCCCATTTGGATAAAAGTAGGCAGGTCCTGGGTTGGAAATCTGATAAAGTGCAAGTTCCCTCTCCGGCCAAAGAGTGTTAAATCCTTCAGTTCAAGGTGTACATCCCGAATACCAGTGGATCCATATGCTACATTAGAAGTCAAATATTTCCGGATACTTTTTAAGCTCTCAACTTCCTCTTGTTCTTCCTCTGCTGTGATATCAATTGGTTCAAAATATGACAGCTTCACTAGAGTTCCCCCAATGTCCATGCCAAACCATGGGAAAGCTGTGGATAAAAAAAAATACATATGTACATATATGTAGATTTTGGAAATGTAAATTAGGAACTAGTCAATTAGCCACTAATTTCATTTACCCTGAATCATGCATTCAGTCAATATTTACAGAGTAAGAAACATTTATTTACAACTCAGCATTTCCCCTTCAAAGTGCTATTTTGTATATTTTCTAAAAATCCCTAACATAGATGGTTGGAGCTGGCCCAGGGCTTTTGAATTTCTGGTCTGGTAGGCATTCTTTTTCATTTATTAAATACTTATCGAACAAGTTATAGGAAAAATTTGGACCAATTCTGTTAATAGATCATCACTGAGAACTTGAAAATGTTTCTAAAAATATTTTAAAGAATTGTAGTAAAACTGGCCTATAATCACCTCAAAAGAAGAACACCTTCTTAAAAATAAATCTTTTTTCTTTGCCCATTGAACATATTAGGGTTCTTTGGTACATCTGGTTTATTTAGCTATTAATAATATTGATGGTAAGTCTATTTGGAGACAAGCACATTTGGAGAGACACTATCATTTGGGTTTGGGACTTGGTCCTTTCTCATTAACTGAACTGTATGACTTTGGAATACCCATTAACCTCTCTTCGTCTTAGTTGCTTTACGGTCTATTTCTTTCGCTAGGATTAAATCATTGTGATAAGAGACTCAAAAATAATACTCAAGATATGGATTACAAAATGCCTTATAACCAAATGTACTTAACATTATTTTCTGTGTAAGTTGTCATGGAAAATTAGTTTCCTCTAAACTCCAACTTTCTTAAATATTCATATCTTATCTGATACATGCATACCATCAGAAACTGGGAACAATCCTTGATTCAGTGAGAAAGGAATCTCTATACTTCTCTATTTCAGAATTTACATTTACTGAAATTAGTAAATGATACTGAAGATGAGGAAGGAGTAATTTTTATTATTGTCTTTTGGAGAAGAACAAAAAAACATTGTTTTTGTATCTGAACCTCAAGTTGCATGCAGATCCAGGTCTATATTAAAGACAATCTTAAAAAAGGAACATTTTTTTTAAAAAGCAAAATGACTTAAAACCCTAATTTGGGAAGCTAGGGTAGCAAGATCTCCAATAGGCACTATGCTTTTTATGTTATCTATAGATCTGTATAAACAAGTAATTTGCAGGGGACAATGACTAAATTTTCTCCATTTTCTTGGGTGGCTAGCAACAGAGGCCATCTTAAATAAGGAACACACTCTTGAGAAAACAGGCCAGCTACAATTTTTTTCAAAAAGTAGAAACCATGTAATTACATATCCTTAGGTAGAAAGAAATGTGCTATCACTAAATTTTGCTACAGTTTATTCATGAAATCTAGAATTTGTTTTAAAGAGTGTCCCATGATGAGTTACATATGGTCTCTCCTCCTCTTTCATATAAATCAGTACAGAGCTGAAGCAGTACAGGGTTCAAAGTTCATACCGTTTTCATTTTTAATCAGAAGTCCCTGTCTATGCCCAGGTTTAAAATACTGGAATACTGCCAATCTTGGAAGCAAAATGCCAATTAACACTTACATGAAGAACTCTTTCAATTCTTCAACAAAATCATGAATTACATTTCAAAGGAACCATAAGGCCTAGGAAAATATTTCAGGTTTATAGCTACATCATTGAAGAGTATTATAAAATTACCTACTTTTCTAAAGCTATGTACAAGCACCAAGGGTTTTGACCCTAAAGGTATTATCAACACCCAATTCCAAAACACAAAACTGGAGCAGGCAGTAGAACCTTTAGCGTGCATAAAAGTGTTACTACTATTTTGACTCTTTCTTCAGAGAGAAAATGGCTGTTCGCGTATAGTTGTCATTAAAATGATAAAGAAAAAACAAAACCTTCCACTAATTTTTCTTTAAAATGCCTTTGTTGATCTACTTGCATGAAACAACCAAATCTGTCCTATCTCAAAAACTTTACACGCAAAGTAAAAAAACAAAGCTGTTTTATTATTACACTGTATTAAATCTCTCTTTGGTTTAAATACTGAAGAACATTATAAAATGTGTATCATATGTAAGGCATAAAGAGTAAAAACCACCAAGAATCAGGAACTCATGAAATAGGACATTACCATTCAATTTCAAACCTTTGTGTGACCTACTTGTTTGCATACGGACTAAAGAAACAGAAGGTTCTATGAAATAACTAAATTAAATTGGAAAGAACTATTACGATTTCCTTAAGGGTTATTGCCCACTGAGGTAGATTTTTAAAATCAACAATGCAAAAATAATCACAATCATCTCACATCTTTGCTGAAACACCTTTGACAGAGGTGGTATTCCTAACAGATTAGTGGAAGTTTGCCCAAATCTAAGTAATCAAATCACTAATCATAGCAAAAAGAAAACACCCCAAGAGTCCAATTTTGAGCTTGTCATTGTTAACTCATTTTCCTAAATCGAAATTCTAAGACAAGCAGAGAAAATGTATGTGTTGAGAGAAGGTTTCCAAGTGTTCTACCTTACTCCATTTGTTTACGATTAGTTTAAGTCAGCAATTTAAAACAAGTAAATATTTCTATATTACTTTGTCATTTAAACCTTCGTATCACTTTTATAGACTTTCTTAATAAGAATTCTTTAGCTATTACAAGAAATCATTAAACTTAATTTTTTTGAATTAGTAGATAAACCAGATCAGAAAGGTTTTGTGTTCCTCTAAGTATTCAGACTATGTTTTACAGTTGCAGAAGCATGAACACTGGACTGTGAGTCTCTTGACTGAATGTTCTGAACCTCATTAGAACAGAATTGGTTGGTGTAGCCTTGGGAAAGTTACTTTGGGGCTCAGTAAATTCAATTCATTCTTCTGTAAAATTGAGACAATTATCTCATTTAAATAACAATTAGCAGTTTTGAGTGCTTTGTTATGTCAGTGCACCTTGTTATGGCAGATTTCTCAGAACTGTTGGGAGGATCTTACGAGACACTGTGAAAACTACAAAATATCAATACAATTCTAAGATAAAAGCATGCATCCCCACATGTACACTAGCTCTGAAACAATGTTCTTTAAGTATGGCTTTAATCACATGGCTGAGTGATTAAATAGGCCATTTACAGGAGTAAAAGGATTTTAAAAGGCTAAATATAAAGAAACTGATCTCTTAAAGCATGGGAATGATGTTTTTTAAGAAAAGTACATGAATATATAGTCCTAGAAACACCTTTATGAGTATTCACCAAAATATTAATGTGGCTAGCTCCGAGTGGCGGGAATGCGGGTGATTTATCTTTTTTATCTTAAAAAAAAAACAAATACGAACGAGTTGATATTCCAAACAAAAACAAGCCAAGACAATTACCCAATAGCAGGTTACATGTGCGTGTCTAAAGCTCTAATTGTAACAGTCCCGGAACCCCCGGATTTCAAGGACACCAACAGGAAGCCTAGAAATCAGCAAAGGGTGGTAAATGACCCCACGCAATTTGACAGCCATGACACCCATTTTTAACCTGACTTCAGAGAAAGCTGGAAAAGCATACTAGTGGCTCCAGTCTTCCTAGGCAAAACCCGAATAAAAAATTCTCCCTTGCACCTTCCCAGATTTCGAGGTGGAAGTGGAAGAGGCCAAGGGGGCGGCAAGCGTTCTTCACGCGAATAGGGGGATGGGAGGGGGCCTCGAACCAGGGGCTGAAATGGTCCCTCCGCCCCATCCCGCGCTGGGCGCCAGCGAAGAGCCACGGCTTGGAACCAGGCCGCTCCGCCACGGGGCTTCCACACCGGGCCCAACATGCTCTCCCAACCCGGCGGACCTAAGCCCCCATCTTACACGGCTTCTTGGCATCCTTGATCTTCATGGCGTCGGCCAGAGGGGCGAGGGGCAGTTTCCAGTTCGGCGCACGGAGGGTAGCGGCGGTGACTCCGGAGGTGGCTGGGCCGCGCGGGAAGGCCCAGCCAGTTCCTCCCCTCAGGCCGGGCGGGGCGGGCCTAGGGCGGGGCGGCGGCGCCTGAGGCGAGGCCCGGCCCAGGGGGCGGCCCCTCCACCCCGGCGAGGGGCGGCCAGGACCCAGCGAGCTGGGGAAGGCCGCCGGCCTCGCCGCTCCGGGCCCCCCCACAGCCGCTCCGAACAATAGGCCTCGATCCCCAGAGCCGCCGCCGCCGTACTGAGAAATAGCCCGCCCAGGCTGAGCTTCCACGTGACGCGAGCCCACCCTCCCTGCGATTCCCGCCCGGCTGCTGGGGACTGTAGTTCTTCCGGGCGTGAGGCCCCACTCTCTAGCTACAGCTCTGCAGAAGGACCACAAAGCCCAGGATGCATCGCGGCCCCTCCTCGGAGGCTCTTTCGCGTCCGGAGATCGGCTCAGAATGGGCCCAGAGAGAAGGGGGCGGGGCCTCAGTCACGCCAGCGACCAAGCGGCCAATGGTGGCTGAGATGGGCGGGCTGCGGAAGTCTAGGGCCCAGGCCTTGCTCCGCCGCCCAAAGAGAAGAGAAAGGCAATGCTTTGCAAGTACCGACATGGCTGTTCTACGTTGCAGACTTTCCCAGGAGATAGAAGGCCAAGTCATTGTGCAATGGAAAGCGCTAAATACAAGACTCTAGAGCCGCTCTTTAGACGAAGATTGGACGTATTTGTAAGTTAAACTCATTCACAAAGGAATCCTCTGGCTTAAAAGAGACATCGAATGCTGGAGTCGGAATGATGACGACAATGACAGTATCAGTAATAAGTATTGTTTATTGAACGCTTACCATGTCGCAGGCTCTGGGCGAAACACTTGTGAATTATTTGATTCAATTCAGCAAATTTGTTCTGAACTTACCTACAGTCACTATTCATTTTATTACCTCATTTTGAGAACAGGGCAGGATCTGGAAAGTTAGTTTGCAGAGTACGTGCTCTCTGCCTCCATTCGGTTACCCTCAGGGGCTTGCACAGTTGAAACTGATTGCCAGAGAAGAAAAGTAAATGCTCTAGTTCTCACAGGCACCCCTTTCCCTGTGTCTCCTAAATTCTGAGTCCTCTAGCTGGAACGGGAAGGGCTGGCATTGGGGATTTCTTGGCTTCCCCTCCACACCTGTCTCTCAGCTGACCAGGAATTCAGGATTTTTGGGTGATGGGGAACCTTACTGCTCCTTTCTTGTGGAGAGTAAGACGGGTTGTGAAAAAAAGATAGGAACGGACACAAACTGCCATTTAGGGAGCCCGTACTAACAGCTGGCACTTTTGCTTTCCTTATTATTAAATCTTAATGTAAGTTTAATCCTCCCAACCACCCTTTGATATATAATGATTAAAAACTCAAACTTGAATTCATATCTTGGTCCTACAACTTTGTATTAATTTGGACAAACTGCTTCATCTCTCTGTTTCCCATTGGAAATACCAATGCCTACATTTCATGGGATTGTGCTGGGGATTAGATGAAAGAAGGCATGGAAAGTGCTCACTCATTGCCTATCATATAGACAGTGATCAGTAATTGATGACTACATTTATAATTGGTATTGTTATCCTTATTGTAAAGATGAGATGAAAGGTTAAGTATCTAGACTGTTTGCCCAAGATAATTACTTATGATTGGGCCCCATATCTAATTGGTGCTTTGTAGTTTCTTGTTATTTTGATCTGAGGTTCCACACTTGTTATTTAAAAATACATTTTTACTTATATTTCTTATGGAGATATTCTTCTGAGCTCCCAGATACATGACCTGATACCTTAGAACCCTGACAGTAGATTTAACTTTCTTTTCTCCTTTTTTTCCCTGTTGTTACTGCATCACACACAGAACCCTAGAGATCCTCGAATAGTCCTGTATTCCCACATTTTCACTGGGAGAGAGTCATGATTTCTGATCTGACATGGCTTCAAAGAGTGTTCATTGTCTAATATGATTGCTCCACTGGTTCTGTAACTCTTGAGTGTGTACCTTGTTCTCTACTGAGATACATCTTTTGGTTGTTTCCTCCCTCTTTCTGATTGCATCAGGTTGGAAGTCAAAGGGGAAGTGATACATAGGCCTTGTGATAGGCTTGCTGTGGACAAAGAGAAAGGGGAGCTAGAAATGAGAAACCAGAGGAATTTAAGTGAGTTTGGGGTACAGGCTCTTATTAGTTTCTATGGCCACAGAGATGAGTGTGCACATGGATGACTTATATTAGTTTAGCTTAAAAGTTAGGTTTACACCTGTAAACACTGAACTTTGAAGAGTGAGAATTCTAGTCTTAGAATAGCCACAGAATTTCTGTATGATCCTGGGAGAGTCTTTTCACCCCCCTGGGGTTTCATTTCATCTGTAAAATGAAATGGTAGTCTGAGATTTCTTCCATATCTGATTCTTGAGGTTCACTGATGTTTCTTTTTCAGGAGTAATATGAGATGTGCTCAACTATGTTTTTCTATGTTTTTCCTAATGTACTGAAACTGAGAGGCTATCCCATTTCAGCCTCTGAGCAGAATCTTCCTTCTGCAGCCCCTGTTGGCTATCAGCCCCAACCTGCTCCTCCAGCCCTGTCTAGTTAACTGCATTTTCTCTTTTAGCTTGGTGCATGTCCTCAAAACTCATCCTAGCAGAGTGAGTGCAAGAGCTGGGAAGAATATTTACAGGGGTGAAGATATTGTCTTCCTGTCTCAATATTGTCTTACCAAACACAATAAATCCACCCCCTCTTGCAAAGTGAAAGAGGAGACTTTACATGCCCTTGTTTTGCTCTGAGTGGTATCCATGGAGACAGGTGGTAGGTTGTACCTAATGATGATCATGAGGTCTCTTGACTTGAAGAAAACACACAAAGATACAAACACACACATCCTAGCTTCAAAGCCCAGACCAATGGATTCTGTCTCTGTTTAGGTGTAAAAAACATGCTCCAGTCAGTCCTTAAATCCACAAATTCAAACCAGGATCTCACTGTGGGAAAGAACCATTAGTATGAGTACCAGTGGTATCACCAGCATATTCATGGAAGCACAATTCCATCCGACAAATGTTAATTGAGCTTTAACTATGTTCTGGGCACTGGAGTACAAATTGGGAGGCAGAGTGATAGAAAAAGAGTGAGAAGTTAGGGAACAAGAGTAGTCTGTAATAAGTGATATGAAGGAAATAATGAGGTCAGTGTTCTGGGAGAGAGAAGGAGGACTCTATTTCAGTCTGGATGGTCAGAGAAGACTTCTCCTGGGAGGCAGCACATGAGCTGGGATCCTTGCACATTGCCAGGGAAGACAGTGATGTGACTGGGACTGAAGGTAGGTTTGCTTTAAGAAAGAGAAGCAGACTATGAGGAGTTGTGAGCAAGGAATAAAGTGATTGGAGAAGAAGTTGGAAAGATGGGCATGCTAGACTTTGAGGAGACCAGAAGATTCTAAGCAGGGAGTGATATGATCTACGATTTTAGTGGGTGTCAGTCCTCTCCCTGCTAATGACCCACAGACAAGGGAGGAGACGCAATGAGATATTGAAGGTCTGAAAGGGCCAGGCAGGGGACTCAAGGCGTAACAGCGCAAGGGTGGTGCTGAGAGGGCACCCTTAGTATTTATTGAGCAAATACGTGTTAATAACAATAGAATTCTGTGTGGGGGACCTAATAGACAACCATTAACTAACTGGAAAACTTAACCTCGCAGTCTCCGGTCTCCTGGGGCGCGAAGTCTTACAAGGTATTGAAACAATAGCAAGGGCAATTAGGTCACAGAAACTGTTTTGTTCTTGTTCTGTTCTTGATCACTTACCAGGAAAATATCAAGTCATATATGATTATACACCTGATTTCTATACTTGATTTATATATAAATCCCACAAGTGGGCTACTGTGGCTGCTTTGTGGAGAATAGGCAGATTGGACAGGTGCCATGACTTGAAAATTTAAAGAGTGGTCACCTGAGTCTTTCCCTTGCCCTCCTGGCTCAAATGCAATCAGTCACTAAGGTAGGGGGGAATGAGGGAGCACTCTAGGAACTGTGTGGAGGCTTGACTCAGTGTGGTGGCATCAGAGATGGAGAGAAGAGCTCAGATCAAGAATTTCATTTAACAAACGCTTATTGAACTCGCAGTGTGCCAGGCACTGTTTTAGGATTAGGGGTACAGAGAACAGGACAAAGCCCCTTCCCTCCTGTTACCTATATTCCAAAGGGGACACAGACAGTAAACAAGTACACAGATGTATAATATTATTTTAGTTAGTATAAATTAGATAGGAGAATATTTAGATAGTATAATTGCTAGGAAGAAAATAAAGCAGGGTGGGAGATGAGTGGTGATGGGGCTGTGTGAGATAGTGTACTTGAGGATGAATGGGAGAGAGAAAGGGGAGCATGAAGGTTAGGCATTAGATTGGGGCTTGAGCTTTGGTGCATGGTAGTGTCATTTACCAAGAAAGGGGAGCATGGGGAATAAATAAGTGGGAAATCAAGGTTCTCCGTAGGCCTCAAGAGCCATCCTTTCCTCAGATTACAAACCCAACCCATGTTTGGTGATAGAAGCCAGTTTATTGCAACAGTTGACCATTTGCATCTAGCAGCTCCCAGCTTGGGTGTCCCTGCCTTCCCCAGGACTGAGTCCTGCCAGACATTTCCTTATGGAAACAGAGAAGAGTCTCTCTGGGAGCTCTGCTCTGCCTGGTGATCTTCACTTCCTGGCACACTTTAACCTAAACAAGTCCTGATATAAACTCATCATCCTTGCCGGCTCACTCTCCTGAAGGCACTACTTCAGCTGGTAGTACCAGCGTCCACCCACTCACCTAACAGAAAGTTGGCATCATCCTGGACTCCTCTCGCCCCCTCACAGCCCACAGCCAACCAGTCACCCAGTCCTCTTGCTGTTATCCTGGTGTCCATTCCTTCCTGTCCGACCTTACTTCTCTCACCTGAGCATTAGCCTCTGCATCTCACGTTTATACTTTTAAAGGCCCATCTTGCCTCTTGATGGCTTTATCCTATCCTCCCTCCTTATTGATGCCAGAGTGGGTTTTCTTGAAAGCAAGCCAGATCATTTCCATTTTCAGGGCATAGAATCATGCCTTTCCCCCTACACCGTCTTCGGTATAAAATCCTAGCCTTTTAGCCTAGGATATAAGACCCATCATGATTGGTCACTGTGAATGTGTTTAGCTGCATCTCTTGCATCTACACATCCTTCATTATATGCTCCAAGAGGACAAAAACTGCTATAGCTGATGGAGTGCATGCTACTGCCCAATGCCGCCACCCCTTTCAAATGCGTAAAGCTTTTTGAGTTACCACTGAACACCTGTTTGTACTTTAAAGTTCAACCCGGAAATCCCCTCCTTTGGAAAGACTTCCTCTGTGCTCCTTCTAGTCTCTGTATTTGCTTCTCTTTGCCACTTATTGTGTAGTAATATAGTGATCTATTTACTCGCCTGTCTCCTTCATTACTGGATGAACTCTTTGAAGGAAGATTGTGACTTATTCCATTTGGCATCTTCAGGCTTAGTATGGGGTCTGACCCAGAATAGTGACTGACAAATAATTAAACTGGAGAGGTTTGGGTCCAAGTCCTTCAGAAGCAACATGGAAACTTGCTCTTCTAGGAACTTCCAGTACCAATAATTATTGACCACAAACACAGCTTAGTAGGGGTGAATCATTGTACTTTATGGGGGTACTACT